GCCTTGTCTAGCTGAATCTTAAATGTTGCCAAGGATGGAGATTGCACAACTGCTCCAGGCAACCTTTTCCCAGGCTTAACAACTCTTCCTGCAAAGATCCTGAATAGGAGGATCCTGTTGACTTCAAAGGCAGTTGGATTATAGCCTAGATGAGGCAACGTGTTGGTTTGCCATCTTTTTCTGAAACATCTGCGCTAACAAATTCAGCGTTTCAGCTGTTCCATGATTTTCCTCAGTTATCGAGCTGTGTGACATGTTCCTCTTCTGTGTCACTTCTTATCTAGGTAGCAATTTTTCTCCTTTAATTACAGCTTTTCCTTGTTCAGTAGAATTCAGTTGTAGAAATCTTAAGCAAGTACAAACTGAACAGTTTTCCTGTCTAATTATATCTCCATTTAGATTAAGACTAATATCAGTGGTACTGAGCACTGGCTGAATTACATACTGAATTTATTCAGCTAATGAAAGCTGAAGGATAGATTGTTTGCATTACGGCATACAACATGGGCGGTTTAGCTGTTGGTTCAGAAGACTGAAAGAGAATTTCTGCATCAACAGTTCACTTTCCTGATATTGCAGGGAGCTCTCTCTTATCATCTCTTTCACAAACTTTACAAGCTCCCATTTTATTTGCCCTCACCGTGTTTTTGAAAAGCATTGTGGATGAAGAACAGAATTACACCCAGTGTCTATAATAGCATCATGCAGCAATTCATCACATACTGAACTTCATATTGTACATGATGTAATACCTGTATTATAAATAAGATGTTTGAATGCAGGTAATTGAGTATCAAATCATATGCTTATGGCACTATGAATAACAAGACTTGGAACCGTTTCTGGGCATGGATATCAGTCCTCAATATTCTGATTGATTTAGAAGACCCGTTTGGTTATGTTCCGCTGCTGTTTGTTGATAATTCTGACAATAGTTTCTATTCATTCTTATTTGTATTTTATTGGTTAGATTTTATTTATAGTACAAAGTTGTAGTAACAGTTCTATTGCTTTTCAAGTACCTGTACGATTTAGAGTTATTGAAGTGTCACTATAAATAGTCATGTGCTCACAATGTTCACTAAACTCCTTATTTATATTTATTGTGGAGTAATGAATCTGTAGTCCTACTCTGAGCTAGAGCTTATCAACGGGTGATGTATTGTGAAATACATTTTCATTTTACAGTAAGTGTTCCGAGAGTGGTGGTGTTAAAAAGCAGAGCAAAAGCCTTTTTGATGGAGTATAAGGGGGAATTGAAGAGTTTGTTTCAATTATTTTATTGCATTTATGTATTATTTAAAACACTGGTGGAAAACTGCAACACTGATGTACCTAATGTAAAACTCCAAAAGAAGGACAAGAAAAAAGCAAGCAGCTTTTGAAAACAGCATCCTGGACTGGCATCTGGTTTCTTTGCTAATTTTACTAGGTTATAGTTCTTTTTGACAAGATGGACTTCTCTCTAACTCATTGTAGATGTGCAGTCTCCACATTGAGTGCATGTCTAATGGGTCATTGGAAGTATCATCAAGGTGTTTGAGGAGTTGTTTGTTTGATTATATTTCTTGCTGCTGTCATATCACTGGACAGTCTGATGCTATCTGCAGCTAGGATGTGGCTATGTATTTTGTATGAAGGTATATATTTGTCTACAAGGAATAGGGCCTTGAGGCTATGAATTTGCTATTTGCATGATGATGAGTGAAGTCAGACAGCAGTAACTTTTGGTCACTGCCAGCTTCTCTTGGTGTGACCCACTCTGAGCTTGAAGACCTTCCAGGCATCCTACAAAAGCTAGTTGTGTAACAGATTTGGGCTGGAAGATGGGTGGGATGCCCCTGACAGCCAGTATGTTTCCAGAGCATTTCCATTTGTATCATTACCCAGCTGAAGTAAAATGTTACTTCCATTTGTTTTTTTCAAGTGACTGCTTGGTGGAGTTTATTTGCATAGTGGTACTTTTGTCACTGGTCAGTTCATTTTAAATCTAATTTGTTTCAGAGACCTCAGACCTTTTAAATAAGGACACTTTTTTCCAATGTTAATTCCAGCTAAAACAGCCTAGAATGAACTGGAGCACTGGCCTAGAAAGGAAAGGCTTCACAGCCCATTACTGATCCCCTGAGCCATCTCATCCCCTTGACTGTCATGTAATGTTTGTTTAACGTAAAATTTCCATATAAAACAAAACAAAGTAAAACCAGAAAAGCAGAACAGCAGCTCTTTGGCATTAAGATATTAAAATGTGAAGGTAGTGAAAATGAGATTTCCTTTCATAAGTGCATTAGT